AAGTTGAAACATTAAGCCACACACACATACACGTACGCACGCACGCAGGTAAATGAAGTCAGCAGAAGCCTATGAAATAACAAGGAATAAGTACATATCCTTCTTATTTTGTCTAAATGAGATGGCGTAAACACGACATTATTGCGAAAGTACGGCGAGTTTTTTTTAACATTTATAATCACACATTTATGGAGTGTTTGGATAGGCATCAGGAAGCATTTCTTCATGAATGCATTGATATTGGTTGGTTTGAGGAGAATAACTGAATGCTTAGAGATTGCTAGAGAAGAGTTTTAGCCTACTTTTGGATTTTTCTGTCAGTGTACGCAGCTATCACACAATTTCAAATAAGAAGTTATCATTCAGTCCGTTTTTTTATTCCTTCACGTTCCTCAGTGGAACAGAGGGCTTCAAGCTAGTGACTTCACGTTTCTGTAGCAGTGTTCATTTTACAGGATGGGGTTGCTAGCCTCATGACCAACCTTTCCTCTTTACCAGCATTATTTCCGGCTTGGCAAGGTAAATGAGTGTGTCGGCCGGGGATCAAACCCGGACCACGTGCATGGTCGGCGAGCGTCCTAACCACTATGCCACACAGTCTGTAGTGGTAAATAATTCACAAAATGTACAGAATTCTTCACTTAACAATGGATCCTGACCTTCATTGTTTTAGGTCTACTTGTTAAGCTGAAACTTCGCGGTCAAGCCTCTACACCACTGAGCACGTTGTCGTGTTACTTTCAGTTGGTCTTGCACTATGCCTGCCTAACATTACGATTCTGACCATCAGGCATAAATCTTATTTTGGACGACCCATATGATTTGATTTATCTCTAATCTCAGTAGAACAAGTCCTACAGGAATTGGAGGATAAGAACTTGCGTTTGTATACAGCGTATTTTAGCGCGAACATCAGCACCCCCTCACCTCCTAAAAGCCAACACCCTACAACCAGATAACCCAGTTACAGAAATATCATCGATATCAGGATCATTGGCGACGGCCTACTTAAAACTTCGGCTAACGAAAACCTCCATCGATGTGTTGCATAAAATTAACCTTTTTGATGGGACACTAGTTAGGGGTTAGTAAACTAATTATTAACTAGTATCCAATAAAAAAGTAACCAATATAGTCCTACAAGAGCTCAATCATGAGCCTGGACGACTCAGTGGTAACGTCTCTGACTGCAGCACTCACTGGGTGACACAGGTTCAAATCGCAGCAGGGACCTGAGTACCCTGGAGATTGGCAGATACGCCCTGCTGACGAGTATCAACTAGTACGAAACTAGGTCCTAGGCTTCCCACCGATTGCCTCCAACCATCTAATATATAAATAACCATTATTAATGGATCTAGTTCAGTTTTACTCCTTGATTTCCGTGGTTGTCTTTGGTTTCATATTCCCTTCACTTTTCATTTTCAGTTATAAAACTTATTTATTTCGAATTAGTATTTATGCTCATTCCGTTCACACCTGACTTCGTTGAACAAAAAAAACTACGTTACACATTGCACAACTATTTTCTAATCCTGTGTAATTGTGTTTCTCTAATCCCCTTCTAATCTAATATTCACACCCTTAAAGTTTCATATCAAATCGAAAATTATTATTATTATCACCTTTAATAGCCTTCGTTAAGTTAGAATAACTGTATGTATGTAAAGCAATGCATATAAATGCGATATCTTTTTTGAACTTTTGTTCTCTTCGCTCTAAGCATAACTAAACCTAGAGGATCAGCCAACTCAGATACGGATCAACGTCCAAAAGAAATGGTGTATACAAACAGAAATTATCTGTCCAACAATTTACAGACTCAGTATGCGTTAATTCGTTAGCATTAATCATTCTTCATAAGTATATTATGAATATGAGGTGAATAAATCGTGAACATAAAGTCTTTAGGTAAATGTAACCAGCTTCAGATAGAAAACAACATGTATGAACACGATAGGATAATTACAGTTTACTTTAAAAATTTAAATTATGATACACACATATACACTTGTAGCCGAAGCCTATCGTGCAAGTATACAAATCCTACAGAGATTTGTATACATTCTTTAAACTACGATCATCGATTCATACAACAGAATTCACAGCTAAGTAACTGAGCTGAGGTGCACTGCACCATGTTGTGTCTTGACGACCGCAAAAGTAGTCATACCCTCTTGAGGGTTAACCACTACTACTATTAGTAGTTACCATTTTTACTATCGACTAGACAGAGTGTATTGATGCACACACACACCATAGTACCTCAATACGAAAACCAAAAATAGTGTACATCTTATGTTGTAAAAAATTAAAATTAAAACCTGAATCGTTTTTGTAACGGCACAATTATTATAGGAAAGAGTGAGGACGAAATCAGCTTTAATTAATAGCTTTCAAATTTGTAATACACATCCACACTAAAATGTTACTGTCCAAATTAAACACACACACACACACACAAATTTATCGAGTGATTCACTTGTACACACACAGTAATGAACATCATGACAGAACAAAAACGCATAACACATATAATAACTGGAAAAAGATTTGACACACACGCGTCAAATTGTCTTCGTTTATTCTTTCTCAATACGGGTAGTTCACACAGACACACATACATATCTACATACGTTCATACATATATTATGTGGAAGAAAATATTACCAGGTATGACAGTGACCGTATTGAATCCATTCTCTGTAAGATGCATATACATACGTATCGTACAAGCATGAAAAGGATGATTCATGCCATCAAACGACGACAACATCAATCATAGATAATAAGCAGTTTTTTTTTCGCGTTTTAGATGAAAGAAAGTACGCTAGCAGAAAAGGAAACTTTTGGTGTAGTTTGGCTGAGAAGTTTGTGCTATACACAAATCGGTACGGATTTGAACTGTTTCAAGTTTGCTTACGAACCAATGAAAACCAGGGGGAAGATGACAGCTACTTCGTCCTTACTTGAGACTCTTCAGTAAAACGTGCCCACGACTCCGTGACCTTCAGTATTCCCTAGTTATCAATGGTTCTCTAACTGATACCAATCCATGATTAAACTTGAAACAAATTGATTTAATAAAAGAGCTATGATAGATGAAATACAACAGGCGCAAACGCATAGATATACTCAAAAGTTTGATGACGATATTAGTCGGAAATCATGCAGTAATGGGTTCCACTTTGAATGTTAGGATGGTAAATACAGTTACTTCATAGCCTCCCAACATGTTGAAGTGTCCAGGACTAAGACGAAATAAGACTATCTAGTCAGTGTTTCCCTAATCCAACATAATTGCGCAACGGTATCCACCTTGACTTCGATTAAATCCCTTGAGTAGAACAAGCAAATAAATAGCAGCTATAAAATAGGAGGTGATCTTGGTTAGTAAGATTAAGTTAGGCAAAACAAAATCACTAAAATTAAAGGGGAACAGAAATAGTAGTTTAGGATATTGGGAGCAGTAACTTTAAAGCTAAATATACCTTGTGTTTGTTGCCTGGCCCTTGTCTTCTGTTGTTACACTCTACTACTCTAGATAAAACTACTCATCGACGGAAATGATGACCTAAAATACACAACACCTGTCTCGACCACAACAAAAGTCGATGAAGTTTGAGATTTTCATCAATTAACACACTTGCCTTCCTTTACTCCAAATCCAATGTTTAATTTGATTGATAGGAAAGTGGTAGTTATCTTAAGTAATTATTCTACTATTCTGTAGAGTCACAATGTTAAACAAAACGCTTAGATTAACATAGAGTTTTAGTATTTTACTGGCATTTTATCAGACAATGTAATCCTCCTCTGTTTAGGCATCCTTATATGAAGTTAAGCGGCTCAGCCGTTTAATCAACCATCACTCTCTCTCTCAGCTGTCTGTGAAATTCATCATTCATAGACTTTTTTCAGAGGAATAAACAAAATTTATTTGTATCAAGCATGAATATATCACAAATAATCTATCTTGAATAAACAACACTACACAATCCAAGTGATAGAATAAATAAAGTGACTGGTCTCGTGTGTGACTGTATGTGACAAATATTGTACATAAACATATAAACAAAGACGAATAAACTTAACGAAGAGAAGTTTTGTTTAAAAGAGAGGCAAGATGACTAATTTATGCATGGGGAAAATATATTGATTAGTTGACTATATATATATATATATATATATATATATATATATATATTTGTAATGAAGGGATGGGCATTTTATGCAAATAACTTCCAGTTGGACAATATTTTATACCCTAAATACAGAATTACACACCATGACCATGGAGGAGGTCATGTGAAGAGGAAATGAAAGCATGTGGGCGGACTTGGAGCGGAGTGAAAAAGTTGACAGAAAACCGAAGGCAATGGAGACGCGCGGCTGAAGCTTTATGTTCTTCTAGGAATTAAAGGATATAATGATAATAATTTAGCTATCGCTTTGAAAACGAGATTCGATTTTCGCCAATATTTCCAAGTGTTGGTCTGTAGGGATTTGATTGATTTCAGATTTTGATTATGAATTAATTTCCGTCAGAGAACCATTGAAAACCAAGGAGTACTGGACATCTCTTTCGTTCTTCTTCGGGACTCTTGGGCAGTACGCAGCTGGACAGTTGTTTCATCCTAGTTTGGGACTTCCCATCAGTACACAGGTTATTCGCACCACAATGAACCACTGGTATTTTCACCTTACGTGAGTGAATAAGTAACTGACTTTCTCGCAAGATTTAGTTTTATTCAGCAGCTATTCTACCAAATAAAGAGTGGTGACATACTACAAATCACCAAGCCCATTTCAAAAACTGAAAACATAGAAGCGTTCCAGTTTTGTACATAGGACCAGTTACAGCACAATAAACACAAATATTCACACACAAGTACATTTAGTAATTATATCCATTTTGCAAGATAGAATATTATGAACCCGCCAAAAACTAATACATAATTTTTAGCAAAACACTAATACTATACAGAACAATGGTTTACCTAACAGTTGATTGAAAGTTGGTCTAGCTTTTGGTTCATGCGCCCAACATGCTCTCATTACAGCATCATAAATTGGATCCGGACATGTCTCTGGTTGGTCTAATCGACCAAATTTCGGAGCATCAATCATCTCTAGTATCTGTCGTCCAGTAAGACCAGCCCATGGTGTAAATCCATAGGTGAATATCTCCCATAGTGTAATCCCATATGCCCACATATCTGAAGCTGTTGTGAATAGTAAATCATGTATACACTCTGGTGCACACCAGGCGATAGGCAGTTTAAGGTTGACATTGAAATTTGATTGATAATACGATTTGCCAAGTTGAAGAGCACGACTCATGCCGAAATCACTGATTTTCACCTATAGGCAGTCAAAAATATTTTTAAAAAGTTTCAGATATAAATAAATTTGTAAACGTTCTGGTTCACCTAATAAGTCAAAATCAAATACCTAATGGTCATCAACTTTTGTGAATTATTAATAATAATAAATGTTCATGCTAAACAGTGCTTTTGGTACAAATATAGAATTTTCAGCATGTAGTAGTACAGTACAGCATTACATGTAATATTCTCATTACAAGGGTAATTATTAAAACAGGGCATTTACATTGATAATATTGTCCAATAAGAATATGAATATAAAATTAAATCAAGTGAAAATGTTAACAACAATGTAAGAGGGGCGCCGTTTACTTCGAGTTCCGTAGTAGGTTGGTAATCCCCTGCCTTACACTTTTCTTATCCCATAAAATGTCTGGCCTGCCAAATAAGGTACTGTAGGCTTTTTGTGCTTAGTCGACCGAGCATACAGTCTTCTATAGTTGCTTCTACCCGATAAGATGCAAGGAGGCAGTTGTGTATAGAGAGGATGTTCAGAGTCTTGCAAGAAAATATTCGCTCATTTCTGACAGGAGTCGATAAGTCTATCTACAACACTAATAACATAGTAGTTTAGCAACACTCCACTCTCCCCACTGACAACTTTTAGCGCCCTTTGAAATCTAAGAAAGTTTTTCTTAAGTAGCCGAGGAAAGATTAAGAAGAAGCAATAAAGAAGCATAGGTAGAATGCAATAATTAGCAAAATAAGATAGTAGAGACGGGGTGATTACAGATCATCTTAACCTCCTTAAGTAAAACAGTAAATGATATATCTTTCTGGAAACTAACATGATGTGGAAAGACCACGAAAGATCAGAGAAAATACACAATCCAAGGTATTTATCATTCGATTTCGTTTCGACTTCTGTGTTATCTATGACAGTGGAACCGTGCAAACTAACCAGTTCATGTAAGTCGCACTTGCACCTAGGAGTGAAATTAACCACCTGAAATTTTGAGGAAACAAGCTTAAAGACCACTTGAAAAAAACCACTGACTAATTTCTGATAAGAAGTTATTCATTTTTGAACAGTCTGACTGAGAAGTGTGGTTGAAACATCGTCCAATGACATCGGTAGACAGCTGTTCTCACATTGGTGGACACCCCTAGCGACAATCTTTTACCATAGTCACATCAAAGCAAATGAACTGTATGATGAATAAGCAGGTAATGACAATCATAAACCATTCGATTCTCGACCAGTGGATAGACTATACAGCCTCCACATCACGATATTCGACTGTCTTTTTCTTCATCTTTAGTGGAATCAAATGAGTACTACCTAAGACCCCATTCATTCGGTGACCCTCAGATTTCAATAGCTCTGTAGGCGGTGTCAGTTTATGAAAAATCTACTTATGACAACTTAATATCCTGGATTGTTTGAAGTGTGCAACTGAGGAATGTCTATCGCAGCTTGATTAGGAACACTTCAGAGGAAAACATGAGTGTACAATACTTCGATTCGATTTCATATTCACTTTTGATGGTTGGTACGTAACTATGAAATCTTAATCATACTTCGGAAACTATCGAATGCTTATGTTAAAATTAAATCACTGTTGAACTTTTGTTAGTCAATCTCTTATACTAGGGGTTCGTCAAAGAGAACATAGAAATGATAGTGGATGATACATTTGACAATATACACTTCGTGTAGAAATCTGCGTGCATTGATTACTTATGCCATGCTTTTTAAATGTTATAGGATAAAAATACGAGATTGTTCCTGAAGTTACAACTTTTTGGTAATGCCTGACAGTGGTATTTAGATTGGACGTTCCGTCATCTTTAGGACTGATCAGTTGGATGCACCTGCTTCCCACTGGGTGGGGTGATGGTATCTATCCCCATCGAGATTCAAATAAAGCTGTCCAAATCGGTCGTCCATTAAAAAAATATCAACAGGAAATGAAAAAGTATGCATTAGAAAGGCTTTCTGTTTACATTAAACATGCCATCCTTCCCCTTCCTGTCATTCACGATTAATATACCAAAGGTAATGATTAATTAAGGCAAACCATAGTTGTAATTTTAGTGTAACTACAGTAAAGTATCCTTTTTCGTTCACATTTCAAGTTTATGCATAAATGTAATCCAACAAATGGTATTGTTTATAACATTATAAAGAGAAAAAAGTGGAGGATTGTGTCCTATTGTAGAAATGAAGAATGGGTAAAAAATTGCAATCAGATGAAATTAAGTAAGTAAGTAAGCAATAATGTAAACCAAGTACACAGCAGGTGGAATCATATTTACAACTTGAATGATGTAATGTACTGGCACAGGTAGACAAATGAGACCAACCAAGTTGTCGTTCAATAACAGAAAGAATTAATGATACTAGATATTAAAACAAATGTTATATTAAGGTAAAATTTGTTGGAGAATGTGTAAATTTACCAGAGTAGATCTCATTCAATGTAGTGACAACATCCAACCTCAACTGAGATGGCTACTAACGCATGCTGACCTGTAGCCTTCTCCGTCCAACAGTGTTAGCCGATATAGGATTGTTGTGGAAAAAAGTTAGGTATAAGAATAAAACTTGTGCACTATGGTAGTGTAATTCCATTATGGATAAATTTTGTTTTGATAAAGTCTCAGACTGTTATACAGTAATGTTTACTCATGACGTTTCGAGCACAATTTACTGCTCATAATCATATCAAGGTAATCACACAACTTCCTAACTTCATTTATATAGCTCCATTGTTTTTCACTTGATTTGATTGGTAATAGTATTCTACATATTTCGGGTATGAGTGATGATGATGACTCATTCCTATTGCATGTGTTGTGTTGGGTGTAGATTCGATGAACAAGGATTCAGTAATCAACCTCTCTCGCTCTCCATCTACCTAGATTACTTTTTAGAATTTTAACCCTATACCACTCAATCGTGTGGTTGTGTGTTAATGGATGCATTGCAATCACTGAGTGCTTTTTTCTAAATTCTAAATCTCCGGGTCAACCATTCTTCCCTTAGCTAAATTCTTATGTTCTGATAATCTGACTACCCCTGACCTACTAGTTTGACCTATGCAGTTGACCCTACTCACAGTCATTGCAGGGTATTTTGTAAATTATATTATTTTGTCTAATTGGGTCAACCGATAGGGTCCTTTAACCTACACAGCTTGTCCCTGAGTGAGTTTGTAGGTTTAAATGCCACCCTAATTCCTGCTTTATTAAGAATTCTACGTAGGGTCTCAGATGTCCCCTCTTTATATGGTATAACCGTAGATGCCTAATATTCTCTCTTATTTGTGTTATTATTACTAGTTTCACAATTATTTTTTTTCTTTTGGCCTTTTCGATCTTCCTAATGAATTTTAAAGGATAGTTATTTAACACCAACTCTTCTTTTATCTGTTTTATTTCGTCATTTCATCATCACCCAGGACCTTCTAGTTACAAGGAGAGCTCGTATACCATTAAGCCACTGGGACCCGATCCAATGGTCCATGAATTCTAACTTCTGCCAATTCTAAGTAATGACAACTCATGATGAAATCCTGTAACCAATCAAATCCCTACAAACCAACACTGGAATATCTACTAGAATGAGTTGGTTTTCTGTACACACTAGTGTGCAGTTTACCTTATTCTATTCGTTTTATTTTACAATCTAACATAGCTAATTCTCCTTGTTCATTTTCCGATTCAAATGTGAATTTTATTCCCTCCACTAGTGAGTTTGTGTGTGCGAAGAAGCTAGAGATATGTTCTGTTTTTAACACTATGAAAGTGTTGTGCACATATCTCCACCATATTTTTGGAGTAGGATTAAACGTATCAAGATCCATATAAGCTATATAAATGAAGTTGGGAAAAAAGTTAGCGTTGGATCAAATCAGAAAAAACATGGAATCAATCCATGAAGTCTTTAACTGTCAGAAAATTGGTGAATGGTGACTTGCAGGGAAATCGAGTCGCGCATTTCGTCCTATTTGGGGCTTGTCAACTGGATGCACCTGCATTCCTTAGTGAGTGGTGGTTTTCCCACCTGTTGTGCAACGGGTGTTATGAATTATTTCATTCAATTTGGGTTTTCCCGTCGACCGATTAGGCTGAAGTGCTCGGTCTCAAGTGGCTCTAGTTGCAGAAGTAGTCTAGTGGATAACACTTTGGTATTTGAAAATATGGGGACTGGGATTTTAGCCTCAGTGGGAACACTACAACTCACTGTTGAATGCAGGTACATTCAGTTGACAAGCCACAAATAGGGAGAAATGCGCAGCATAGATTCCACTGCTAGTCACCATCCACCAATTGACTTCAATTTACATGGTCAGACATCGTCGAAGCATCTGCGCTGACATGTCAACTTGAGACCAAGCACTTCGGTCCAATCAATCGACGGCAAAATGTAAAATTGAATTAAACAATCTTTGACTATTAGTCGTCTAAATCAGCCTGGCTGGGGTCTTCGACATGTTATGTGATTTGCGTCGGTGTCACAGCGGTTAGGACTCTCACCGACCATGCACACGGCCCGAGGTTCGATCCCCTGCCGACTCACACCTGATATCTATGGTCGGCCTGTGAAATTTGGGCTACCGATATCCATGCTGAAAATTCCATACTTGTACCAAAAATACAGTGTGGAATCAAGTTGTAATCAAAAATATAAAACATTAGCTGTTTAACTACCTAGAGCTCTCCCTGGTTTTTCAAGGTTCCCTAAATGTTGTCATCAGTTCTTCAGAAAATCAATCACCTCCTCCATTTGTATAGGTAGCATAGTTTCAACCACATGTGCGATAGATGAGGATGTTTAAGTCAGTATTCGAAGGAGAAGAAAGTGGTTCAGCATTACGCTAAAATCAGTGTGGAAACCTAATACACTCAGAATAAGGAACAAGATACGGATCTTCATCATAAATGTCAAAATCAGTGCTTTCATATGGTTCAGAGAATTGGCAAGAATGTATCGCCCCCAAAATACTCTGAGGAGATCATTATTGACTGATATCATGCGCCAGGCACTCGAGTGAAACCCGAGTTAGAAACGACGGTTTGGGAATCCTGAAAAAAAAACAGAATGAAATGGAAATGTGCTTCGGGAATCTTATGTCCCACTCAGAACCCAAGGGAATAATAATATATAATACCTACAAGACATATTAGGTGGAGGTGGTAAACTTTAAATGGATTTTGTACAAGTGAACAGAGTGCACCGAAGAGACAGATTATACTTAAAGACTTCGGATAACCAACCGTCTTCAGGTTTGAATAGACACTCATAGACAAAACACTTATTAACACAGGCTTCATAGACTGACTGACTGACTTGGTAATACAAATGGATAATGACATTAACAATGGTATTATTTAGTAATAAATTGATAAACTTACAGAATCTTTAGAAAATACTAGAATATTTCTAGCAGCTAAATCACGATGTACAAGACCACATTCTTCTAAATAACTCATTCCACGTGCTATTTGTATTGAAAATTTATGTAATACAGGCACGGAGAAACTTGATCTCAACTCTGTTTCACGAAGACATTCCAGTAAAGATCGAAGTGGTGCAAGTTCAGTAACCTGAAAATTAAATTTTTGTTTTTTTTTAAAGATTAATACGATTCTGTTATGAAGAGGAGAGAAAAAAAGGGTAATAATAATAACAATCTTCTAACATGAACACAACACTAATCAAATAATGGATGAATTTATGCTTTCATAAATAAAAATTGGGGAAATTATCCTGATGTTATTCTTTTTTTATTACTTCGTGGGTTCCTCTTCAACTGACCTCTACAACCTGAATAATACCACAAAAAATATACATTACAAAAATGGATTTCACCGTCGGGTGTCCAATTTTGATGTAATTATCCTTGAGAAGAGAGCATAAGAGCTTTAGCTGCTGTTAGTGATACCATGTAAGCCACTCTTTCAGTGTGCTTGTGGGTTTTCGTCTGGTTGACTCTCCAGTTAACAATTTGGAGAGTTTACATGCATTCAATCTGATCTCATAGATTCCTATATTTCTCTTCTGCTTTGGATTGATTTTCTAGCATGGATTCACTCCCAACCTTCTATCTTCTCCCGAGGTTAGGACCAGATAGAAAACTAGGTGAGGTTGCTGTATTGCGTAACATTTTTTTAACGACATACCCTTTCAAGTCGAACTTGGTTTCAATCCACATTTTGAACTCTGATTGTCTTCAAGAACACTAGTCTTATTATCCGATAAACAGTTAATCCTTTTATGACTTCATGATTTAACTTTCTTTATCATTCTGGACTTAGGTTACTTATAGTTCCTCTTTATGTGAACAATTGATGGTCAACGTGATAAAAGTTAGCCGGAATCCGATTTAGAGATTTATATTTTTCTGGTATTGTTGAGGCTGTAAGCAACTGAAAAGGAGTCCGCGAAATCATAAAAAAGAGCTCATATTATTCTTCTATATTTATTGTTCTTAATTCATAAAACTAGTTTCATATTTCAGTATTTTAATGATGTCCACTATGTAAAATGCATGACATCACTTACTACCTAGTGTCCTATCAAAGTACCCGTTACAGTCCTACTGGAGGTCAATCACCAACCCGAATAACTCAATGGTAACATCTCTGACTACACCATTGGGTGACCCGAGTTTATATCTCAGATGAAGCATATATTCCTTGAAGATACTTCTTGCTGACAGGTGAATGCCGACTAGCGTGAAGTTTTAGGTCAAAGGCTTTTTGCCGATTGCCTCTAATCGTCTAATATCAATTCAGAGTCTACTTTTGAATGCTAAATATCAGAAAGTAAAACTAACTGATTTCAACCAAAATGTGAACATACATCACAGTTCGAAACCTAATCAGATAGACGACTGGCGTTAAGACATTGTAAGTGAGCTTGCATCCTCCAAATAAAACACTTTATTTAAAGATTTTAATGAGAAATTAGTCAGTCAGAAGAACAAGAAATTGACAATGTCATGCTGTAAGAAAGGTGATTTTCGAAAAAACAGTTTGAGAAAGAAGTAGTTTTGTAGGATAAATAAGGATGAAAGAGTAACAAGATATTCTTCATGCCGATAACCATTTGCTTCCAACTTTAGAATTAAATTAGTTATGAACGCATCATCTACAGCTCTTTATAAACAATAGTGGAATAACTGACATAACTATGATTACAGAATATTCACAACAGTCTTCGAAAGTTGTACAAAGCCAAAATACAGTCACTTAGGCTGAAATATACACTTATGCTAGATTTATCTAACTGCCATTTATCCAATAGCTAGGCATATATGAACAGATGAAACAAAAAAGACCTTAGCAGCTGTGAATCCAACATCCTAACCAACAGTGTCCAACAGTATGCTGCCAATTATAGCATAGTGATTAAACTTAGAGACACTGTAAATCGAAACTCTCTGATCACGACAATTTATTTTGTAACTAAGCAACTGAATTATTTACTACCGTTTGGATAATTCGCCTGCAACACTTGGCCTTAGTTAAAGAGAGTTATCAACTGATGAATAGGTTGTTTGTAAAATCAGTAAGTTCGTTCAACATCAATGGGTAAAATACTTTAAAATCTCATATATGAGAATTAAACGACTTCCATCAGGAGTCGTCTACGATCAAGAAATTGAAGTGTAAAGCACAGTTTCTTTCCGAATAATTTGAAGAAAATTTGAATCAGATAAGTGCTTTTCTGACACACAATTGATTGTGAAATTAGCGCTACAGAGGGGACAACGGAAGTCCGGTGATTAAACCATCCAACTTTCGAGAAACATATCAAAAGCCCTAAAAATCATTCAGCTAAACTAGATCGGGTCCCAGTAGCTGAATGGTCGTCTGCCAGCTTGTCACATAACCGGAAAGTCCTGGGTTCAAACCCCCTAAGGTGGCTGCGTACTGTAAAGAGTCTCAAATTAGGACGAAACAGCTGGTATTTAATGGTACTCTAACTGATGCCAGCTCCTAATCGAACCTGTAGCCAATTAAATCTCTACAAAGCAACACTTGATAAACCATAAATCTCCATTACTTTGAACACATTACCTAGTAAACAGTTTTATGGCTATAAAAAAGGATACTGTTTCCTTGGTAAGGCACTACAGCCAAATAAATGCTTCGCTTTTATACCTGCCTACCACTCACTCAGTACACAGTGAATTAGTCATGCAAACAAATAGATGAATGGATAGGCGGACACATGGATAGGCAGACAGACAGACGAAAGTATAAAATTATTTGACCAGTCTCTTTTTCGTCTTTTTTTGATTAATTTTTTGTTTACATTATTATAAATAATTTTTTCAATGATTATATGATTCTATTGAACTCTCTAATTGTCTATTCTTATGGAGAGAAAAAACAGATACGAAATATAATAAAATATTGAATAATGAATACTGACTTTAAAAAGGATTCAATGCCCAATGTGTAATAATTCAAACAAAAAGAGACCAGATGATAAGAAATACATTCAGAATTATATTGAAAAAAAGAGTAGAACTGTTGTCTTAGATAATAAAACAACAGATGTGAAGAAATTGAAAGAAGTGATACACTGAATGAACAAATACTAAAAAGAGTGAAATCTGATCTTTTTCAAACTGAGATATGATAGCTTACAGGAGTTTTATTCTATAAAAAAAGGAATAATAAAAATGCATTCAACAGTTGCAAGAATAAAGGAAAACATTTAGTAAAACAAAAGCATTCGAATTGTTTTACTTCTGGTTGTATTAACCGATCTCGCGCATAACTACACAAAAAAAGACTCTATGCCAAAATACTCAGCACATATTAACGGATCAAAAAGCAACTCTACGAATCATCATCATCATCATTAAAGACAGCATAGAAAACCGTTGACAGTGTTGGCCGCGAAGTAATTTGAAGAGGCTAAATCAATACTAGTGCGTCGGTGGCACAGCGGTTAGGGCATTTGCAGACCATGCGCATCGTCCGGGGTTCCATAAAGGCCACCGGCGCACTCCTTTACCTCGCTAAGCCAGAAATAATGCTGGTAAAGAGGAAAGGTTGGGCATAAGACTGGCTAGTAACCCCCATCTGCTACAGAAACTTCAAGCCTTCTAGCTTGGAGCCCTATGTTTCACTGGGGAACGTGATGGAAAAAAATCAACACTATGGCGTGCTGTGTCCCAAATCTTTATCAACCTCATTCAACAGCTGGCTATATGACAATGCGACATATTAAGTGACTCATTATAGCGAAAAACTAAGCGAAGCCTTTGAAGTGAAAATACAAGAGTAAGATAAGGCTGCCTAATATCATCACTGATGATACGTCTAATTGTAATGGAATAGATTATGTGGAAGACCACAGTGAACGAGAAGGCAGGAATACGCTGGAATACCGACATAAAGACTCTGGAAGATCTGGATTTCGTGCGTAGATGATTTGTGCTTAATGTCACACAAAATCGAAGACTTGCAGGCGAAAATCAACAAACTGGTTGAAGAAGTAGCCAAGAGAGTGAACATAGAGGAGACACAGGGGTGATGAAGATAACCAACCAACAACAACAACTAACACCAATCAGTACCAAAAGAAGGAATATGAAGGAGGTCACTTCATTGACCTATCTAGAAAGCATCTTTTCAGCTACAGACTCGGCGAACGGATGATGTCAAAATCGGAATGGGAAAAGTGAGATAGACCTTCATAACTCTGAAAGCCGGTTTGGAAATCTTCTGAACTCAGGGTAAAGAACAAAATTGGAATTTTCAAAACCAATGCTAAGTCAGTCAGTTCTTCTATATGGGTCAGATACTTGACGTGTCACCAAAAGCGTTTCCAATCGCTTGCTGCAAACTTTTGTCAACAGCTGAGTTTGCCAGCTCCATACTAAAGATCAGATGGCCAGGAAGAATCATCAGCAAGAAACTCTGAGCATGAACCAGGCAAGAACTTATTGCTCAACAACCATGCCGAAGAAAATGGAAATGGATGATCACCCGCGCACTGAGGAGACTGTTGGGTTACATAGGACACCAGTTGGACCCTCGAGTGGAACACAAATGGGAAACGAGTCAGGAGTCCGAGGGTGAGGAAGAGATGGGAGCCTATGAGCAAACGTGAGACCAGCTGAAGATAGGTGCAGAGAAGAGGACGAAATAGGGTGTACCAAGTGAACAGTACTAATAATAAGTAATATAATACCAGAGGAATGGGAAGAAAATACAAAAACACACCCACCTACACCTTGTTTAACTCATATTTAATATGAAGACAATTGGCTGAAGACATATACTACTGACTGATTGATTGATATGAATAGTTGGAGACCACCACTCACGTCAACCAGAAGTGCCAGTTAATTAAATCGAAGAGATGTAAACAAAAGTCGATTGTTTCGTTCACAGTTATAGTCAGCTGTTTACTCGGTCTTAACTCAGCCCAGAGGCGTGAATCAGTTCAAATTACTCGAATTTCCGGCTAGCTGAAGAGAGGTGAAAACTGCTTCATGTTTTCCAAAGTTTAATGAGGATTTGATCGTGGACGTTTTATCATCAGAACCAACACGCCTCATTAAGAAGAACACTAAACAATTCCCATTTTATCTAATTATGGGTTACAAATCTTCAGCACTCTCCCCAGCAAAGAAAATCATTTTTCGAAAAACGTGTCTACGAACAAACAACTTTGCAAGAGTAAATTTTCCTACCTCAGCTAACTATAAATTTGAATGAGGCAAAAACGACAAACACGTACCAGGATAAAATGAGCTCATTTTATATTATTTCAAGGATTCTTCTCTCTACTGCCTACAACCTGAACAATATAAATTACATTAAAGATGTGATGAATACACTTTTTCCACAATGACAAGGAGTAACTGGTGGGAACTAAGAGTAACGTGATCATATCTCCTGACAATGAAAACTACGCAGTTAAATCACCCAGCTCATAGAACACAACGACATCGAAATCACCCACCTGAGCTACGAATCTTCTCTATAGTGAGACATTTGTCGTACATGCGAATAAATATGCCTAATTCCTAAACTGTTACCTCATAGACAACTACTAGACCTGAGTGAGACTTAATCTGTGTGTCCGTTAATATATTGACAAACATGAATAACCGTCAAACCATCAGAAAATAATATAACACAATGCACTGCATCTAAAACACATCATAGAAATGGGCTAGTTACACTTCTTGAACAAATGTAAGACTATAATGATTTTCTTGTGTACATACAAACCATACCTATTACACTGACGCACATGAAATTAGGAGTCCTATGCATGAATACCTCTTTATATACCAAATTTTGTGTAGACTGATAAACGAAAAGAACGACTTAAGTACTACAATACAGGTATAACTTTATGCTTGGAACTCTTGGACTTGAAGCAATATGCCCTGCAGCCCAGTGCTTCATGGCTTTAAATGAATACCTAACCAACGCTGGTATGTGATGCATTTCACATTGGGAATAAGATAGATACAGGAATACGCCACAACATTCCACCCTGCTACATACACCACAATTGCTTGAAAAATTGAAGGTTATACAAACGCAGACAAAAAGCAACAAGAAAATGTAACTGAAAGTCTGCTTTAGAGGATAAAAGATGGAAAGAGAGAATTGTGGAAATAAAATAATTGGAATGAATAAACAGGGTATAAATGTATTCGTGTCACTGCACTTGTTGTCTCGAAGTTCTGCTTCCAGTGATCATATAAACTCAGGCGAGAGATAACTACTTATTGGTATACCTTTGAGGAGGGAAAGGTAGGCAGAAGAGGGGGATTCGAATCCGGCAGGTATTAACTGAAATCCTAGAGCGAAAACCAAACATGAAATTCCCATCTGGTCTTTAATCTATTACTTTAAAAAAAATTTATTTTTGGCATAGCCATGTGGCGTGAATACTATTAAGCATGAAAGAAAACAAAACACGTAGGCATGAAGGAGAGAAAATAAGTGAGAAAGTGAGAAAGGCTTTCGAAAAATAACTCAATTCTATTACACTTTTAAAAATCCATATACATATTATTATCTGTTTATCATAAACTGAATAAATAGACTACACATTACGCCCCATCATAATTACCAAATGTAGTTAAATGAAGTGTATCTGCAATGCCACATACAATAATAATAATAATAATAATAATAATAATAATAATAATAATAAATGTCGACAGTCAATTGAAAGAGAAAAATTAAACTACTCTACAGTTAGTGTAACATAAACAAAACATTACGCGTTTGAATACTGAAAACGAAACGTGGAGAATACCGAAATGAATGATCACATTTTCATGAGTTTGTTTGTAGGGATTTGATATGTTTCAAGTTTGATCACGGATTGATATCAGTTGAAGAACCATCGGTAGTGAGGACAAATACTCTCCATAAATGACATTGGCTGGTGTTAGTCATGATAAAATCACGAATTGGTGGAAGTTAGGAATTTATCGCCTGGCCATTAAGTCAGATGCCAGTGGCTGGATGGTCTACAACTTTGACTTGGAGCCCGAAAACCCTAGGTTCGGTGGGTGAGTACTGCTGATGGGTTCCAAAATAAGACGAAACAACTGTCCAGTACTCCTTGTGTTTCAGTGGTTCTCTAACTGATATCAATGTGATCACAAACCAACATCAGTTAGACACGAAAAGCATTGACCAGATATATTTGATCCCAGTCTGGGACTGTTCTTCAGCAGTATGCCCCCTTTTCAAGGACCATTAGGTTACAAAACAAGTGCATTGACCGTTCATCAACCAGTGGGATTTGAATTCAGTGAGAAGTAAACTCTAACTGCTATCAGTTCACTATAAAGCGAATGCTTATCACTGGCATTATTCAGTGGTAGACTAGATTACATTAAGTTGTTTAAGGTTACTACTTAGTACCCCTAGGAGTGAAGAGTATCGTAACTCAAAATCTTCATCTCAGCAGCTATCTGTTAAGAGAAATACCTCAATTACTAAATTGCAAATAAGTAAATAAATAAATAATAGAATGATATCAATGAATCACACAAATGAAATAATTTTTCTAAAAAAAAACAGCATGTTTATAAGTGCGTTTTATCTACTCAAATAATAATAATAACAATAATAACATTAAGAATGTTCTACCACTTACAATCTTAATTGTATTCACTTCAATACATACTCCAAGAAGACGTACAATATCTGGATGATTTAATCGATGCATTGTGGCAATTTCATTCAAGAAATCACATGTATCATCACCGATCTGTTTAATATCCATTATCTTGATAGCAACTTGGACAACGCGTCTTGCATCTGTATGCCATACACCCTGGAATAAATTTAGACAACAACAAAAAATAAGTAAAAATTGGTTACTAAGGTATAAAGTCATTGATGCTTCAAAGTACAGTTTTCAGTCAATATACTACATACTGGGCTGAATATTTTCTCAAGGCATAAAAAAATAGGCTGTTTATTTTAATCATGTATAATATCTCAACACCTTTATTACATTGGTTGGTGAAAAACAAGATTCCGTGTTTCACTGTTTCTTTAGTTTATCTAAAAAAGCATATCTTGACTGTAATGACATTAACAACAACAGTAACGGTAAAAGGGAATTCAAATTTAAGAAATTCTTCCATAGGTATTTGTTTAGGGTTGAAGGGGGGTAGAGTTAGGCGAAACAGCATTTACGGGTAATTAAATGAAGATCACTTGAAAATTGGAAAGGATAAAAAACCAACCTGCTAAACACTCAGCAATTTCCATCGGTTACCAAACTGATATTACCTATAAATTAAGTGGATATTCATGTGGTTGAGTGGTTGGAGGTAGTAGACAGGAAGCCTTGGATCTAGGATTTTGTGCTTGTCAACACCCACCAGTTAGCAAGGTGTACCTTTAATCTTGAAGGAACTCATGTTCTCTTTGAGATTCGAACCAGTGTCATCCAGTGGTGTGGTCAGAGACGTTACCACCGAGTTACTAACGAACAGCGACTGACTGTAATGGATGGGACAGCCATGCATCTAGTCCTTAGTTTGATAAATACTGAATTGTAAACTTGATTGATAGAATTTAGTCCGCACCAAACGAAGGGTTAGACACATGACATTAGTTGCTACCCAGAGTTCAATCAATGGCAATGAGCTATATTTATTGTCTAAGGCCTGAGGACGCTGATTACTTATTACCAAAAGCTTCTTTTAAACACAACTTAAACAGTCATGAGGTCGACAGAGCTAGGCCAGTAGGTCACAGCTTCACAAGAACAACAAGAACAACTTTTAAATGAATTATCAGTATTCAATAGATTAGAAAAGTTAAAAATTAAGCAGACTCCCTTTCATATATTAATGACAACAAACCAATCCTTGAAATGCACTGCATTTCTAAGTACTGCACAAAACTTCCAAATCATTGTTATATGATTCATACATGAAATCCTGTTACACATGACCATGGATAAGAGTGCAACAACACATCACCATATGTGAAACAATTGTGTTTAACTAGAAAAAGATTATCGGACAAAGTACACAGCCTGAACTAATCCAGATGTTGGCTTATTTTGTGCGCATTTTATATCATTTCATAAAGTAATCGTTAGAAAAATATTTTAATTCATCTATTTCTGTGCTTTTGTAGACAGCAAATGTTGCATTGGCATACAGAACATTATACATTTCAATCATAATTTACTCTATGTAGAGTTGACAATTTTGTTGACTAATTTACCCCGTTTTCATGCACAGATGCTATTGAGGTGCAGTATAATGTAATGTTTATTTTGTGTTTGTTAACACAAGCTTCAGTTATCTTCATTAAGGAATATGAGAGTCACTTACTAGACAAAAATTATTAGCTGAAGTGGAATAGTGATGGAAAACAGTGACCAAAATATGATATCAATCCATATACGTCTGGGCCAAACAGAGTGGCGTATAGATTGCTTGGTTAGTCTTCAAGATTTTTGGTGAAATCGACATCATACTACCTATCATCGAAATTCTGAACATCGACTATTCTGCATTAAATGACCTCCTTGAAACTCAGTCATTTTTGTCTATTATGATGTCACAATACACACAGACGAAAACCAACAAGTTGGAAGAAGAGGCAGCAAAGGCATGACTTCAAGTGAACATTAGGAAGACGGAAGTGATGAAGATAACCAATCAATAATAATAACAACAACAATCACTAGTCACTCCACTTATCTAGGCACCATGGTTTCAGATACAGGCATGCTGCACTGATGAGGGTATCAAAAACACAATGGGAAAGGCAGGACAGGCTTTCATAACTCTGGAATCAGTTCAGAAATGTATAATCAGCATAAACAACAAAATTCGGATTTTCAACACCAATGTTAAGTCATCTCTTCTGTATGAAGCAGAAACTTGGTCAAAGCATCACAAAAAGAGTTTCCTACAGCTTGCTAGAGACTTTCATCAAAAGGTCACTTCTTTGGCTCCATAGTGGAGATCAGACGACCAGCCAGAAACAATTATCGAAAATGAACTCTGTGAGCGAACCAACTTAACAAATATTTCAAAGAAAATGGAGACGGAGTGGAACACGTTGAGAAGACCGCCAAATGACAATTCACACTAGGATATCGGTCGAGTGGGACCCAAATTGGAAACGACGAGTTAGGCTTTCAAGGGTGACATGGAAGAGGTCGTATGGGGAAGAGATGAGAGCATATGGGCAGTCGTGCGGCCAGACCGAAAAGGACTGTAGACAACAAGACAAAATGAAGACGTTCTGTTGAAGTCCCATTTTCCAGTTTGAACCCAAGGGAATAATAATAATAAATATATTACAATACATGCTTGTTCCATTATCTTACATATAATTTTTCAAAGTAAACCACTGTAAAAAGTTTTCTACCGGTCTACCGACCCATTTATACTCAAGCATGAAATATGCTAGAGAAACGGACAAACAGAAAGAGTTAAAAGTGTGCAGAGCATTGAACAAAAGTGAGATTATGCTGCAGGGCTGGAATATACCGACCACTAACTTAAAGACAGGGAGTGAAGTGGTAAAGTGAGTTGACGACCACTTCACTTATTTCGGAAGCACAGTCAACTGATGACTGACAAAATCTCATCATGGACAAAGAAGACTCGTGTGACATTTGCCAACTTACGTCACCACTAGTTTAGACGTGATATCCGGCTGGCTATCGATCAAAAGACGTGTGTATTGCGCAGAACTTCACTTCGTCCCCCTTTATAGCTGTGAGAAATGGCCATTGAAAGTGAAAGATATGAAAAGACTGACTGTCATTGATCATTTGTATTTGGGTTCCATCTCCCATGTTGAGTGGTTTAATAGGGTGAATAATATTTAGATGGTTAGACGTTGAGTGTTAGGTAAGGGGGGAGGAAATAAGTCGATGAATTTGTGAAGCTGCATCGATTAAGATGGATAGGACATGGGTTACGAACGCCCAGCTATCACCACCTTCCTCGGCGGACAATGTTACCTGACATAAGATCAGGTTGGAAAAGAGCTAGTGGTGGTCAAACCAAAACATAGCTTCATCAACCAATGAAATCCACAACAGTTCGTTTAAGTCGACCAACCACGTAGGGAGGTGTAGACTTCTTGGCTGTTTAGGGTCCTCGGGATGGTGAGAACCAATAACGGCTGGAGACGACTGGTGATACGGCTAGAAACCATTCTCACTGACGGCGCAGATGCATTCACTCTCTGTGGTCTCCCATATCCATTCAACCCCAATGTTTATCCGTATTATGATTCTTTCTCCCGCATATTTCTAGTTATTATTTTTCTTTTGAATCCCTTTATTCCTCTCTTTTCTCTACATGGAGTGTGACGGCTTGAACTGCCACACTTCTGTGCAAAGGTCTATGCTAGAACTCGATCAGTTAGTCAGTCGAAGCATTCGTACTAGGGGGTCGACTATCGGAGACCGAGTATTTTATTTCAGTCAATTGAAGTCATTCAACATGAGATTCAAATGACCTCAAACAGATAATATTCAGTCTACTCATCATTAGACGTTATTGTTTATGGGAAATAACTGTTCAATTCATCAACACTGTTGAGTTAACCGATACAAATAGATAAAATACTTCCTCTTTAACAACAATAACAATTACTCATCAATTTAACCAATAACCCTATAAGCTAATAACAGACAGTCAAACAGTATAATACACACATTGAATTATTGATCAAAAACAATGAAAGAGAAAGCGACATTAAATTCCCAGACAGGATATTATCTTCCCTTTAAGACAAAAATATCGATGGAATTTCCCCTCAAGAAAGAAAGGAAGAAAGAGACAAATACATATATATCCCCCTGCCCACCCCACCCCAATTACAACTTAAATAAAAAAGGACAGCTAAATATTATATGTACTGATATTATACTGCCAGTCAATAATAAGGAGCATGGAATAACGGAAGAGGAAGAAGAATTCAAAATAAAATTTAAATAACTCACCAAAAACACACGCACATACACACACATGGACACGTATATGCACAATCACACATATGCATACACACAACAGACAAAGTACGTAGATGTCTCATTCGTGTTAAACGAACAAAAGAAAAAAAATCTCCAACATGTGCGTGTGTGTGTTGAAAACAAGACGACTAGAATGTCAGTAGTTGAAAGTTAACACAAATCTTAGGAACACGGTAGTCACGTGGGTGTACTAACTAACTCGGCCGTTGATTAATCTAAGGAAATAATAATTATGCTAACGATAACAATACCTACTCTTTGCCAAACAAATGGTTTGATTCCAGATATAAAAACCTACTAAAATGTGGAATTTGTCAAGAATAGGCATCAGTTAGAGTATCATTGACAGTCAAGGAGCACTATGACAGCTGTGTCATCCTAGTTTGAGAGTGATAAGTTGTTTGCACGGAAGATGAGACAGTAGATTCAAATCCAGTGGCTGAATGGCTAATGCGTATGTCTTGGCAAACTGAAGATTCTGAGTATCATTCATACGGGGTCTGCTCAAGAGTTTACTGCTCTTAAGTTTTTCGATGATTGTTTTAACTGATGTTGGTCTGTGTGACGAAATCTTCAGTGAAATTAATCAAATCCCTACAAGTCGTTTGGAAATACAATCAATAAAGACAGAACTGCTAGTAAACACCTATCCTCCGATAAAGGCAGAAACCATTAAGTTACTGAAAGACAGCCAGGTAAGCAGCAGAACCAGGAGCACTGAAAACGGTCTCACAGACCTAGGCTGGTATCCTCACGCCACTGTTGTAAAAGATTTGCAAGTGCTACCTTGTTAGCGAAGGGTGACTTAG